AGATTCAGGAGGAAATTGCAGGACATGTCGTTAAAACTAGTAATATCCAGAGTTGAGACTTCATGCACTAGAGATTAGTGATTAGCAACACAAAGTCACAGTGCACTTCAGCAAAGGCTTAACACAGGTTGCAAGAATCGTTCAGGGCTACTTAAGGAGAACAAGAGAAGCATCTGCAACTACTTGTAGAGGAACTAGCTTGGAACCTAGCTAAAAGGCAGGAACAAATTTTAAAAACATTTTTTCACTCATGCAGTGACAGAAATAACGACATTTGAAGACAAAGTTTACAGATGGTTTTTCAGATTTGTAGCTTTCTTGAAAATGAATTTCAAGCAATGAATTATTTAGTAAAGCTAGTAAACCACAGTGGGTAATAAATGAGATGTGGTTTAACAAAGAAATGTGATGATAATACAATATTTTCTTAGAAGTAACAAAAAATCATCTGGGATACTCAAGGGCTCTTATTCATTACCCTGTTCTCTATTCAGCTATGCATCTGAACAAAGTGCATTTCTAATTGTTAAACAGACTGAAAAACCAAGAAAAACTTTTGATGATTGGCAAAAGTTAGAGAATTTACACCATGACGTACGGCACAACGAAATTGCCTTAAACCTATTCCCCTGTTTTCCAGACTCTGAAATACAATAAACAGGAAAAATCAGGAGTTGAATTTAGGCTAGCTGGGCACTACACAAAGCAAGGGTTGTACTCCCCATGCTACGGTATGGTACTCAATCTGTATCTAATTCCGAAGATTCTCCTGTAGCCAACATCTGCCCTGCTCACTTCTCAGCAAGGGCTGTTGTGTCCTTTTCTGCTGACGAAAATCCCCATATGTCACATGCTTTTAATAGCTTCCTTATCTCTCACAAAGTGTGCCTAATAATACCACAACCATGGCGTCTTATTAGGAAATTGGGTTCCCTCTCTCTGCTTTACTCCCTTACAGGCCTCTCACTTCTTTTAACACTACTCTTTAAACTCGTAAAGCAGTTGAACACTTTAAACAACCTTCCACCACGTGGCTTTGCTTCACTTTCAATAAAAGGCTGTTGTCTGAACAGGTGAATTAGATCATTTCCTCCCATCTAAAAATGCAAAATCATTTCAGCAAAGAATTCAACAGCCCAAATCCCTGTTTAAAAAGAAGCAGTGACTATTCAAAAGAATGCCGGAGCACCAAGTCTACCACATGAAGAAGTCTCCCCTGGTTTTCCACAGGAGAGATTCCACCGAGAACTCCCGCGCCAGGCTGGCATTGTGTAGCTTTTCTATTTAGAATAAAACACTTCAGTGAAATGCTTAACACTCAGCTGTGCACTGTGCTTCTGCATCAGTCATTGAGCAAATCATCTATCGAGGAGTGCAGCTGCTTGTCTGCCTGTGAGAAAGCAGGCTTGCTTCTTCAGCCTGCGAAAAGGCTCCATGACACATCCGAGTCTCTTTCAAGGCAGTTTTATTTCTCAATACTCAAATATAAGCACAGCATGAAACCACACAGCTCCTCAACTCATACTGGACAGCGCTTCTAGAAGCATTTTTCCCTCAATTCCTCAGCTTGAGTATTTATTTCAGTAGCCGGTCTCTGTTCAATATCTGACTCTTTCCAGGGGAGAGGGCTAACAGTAAGGGCTTGGCTGGTCCAAAGGTCTGTGGCCTTTTAAAAAAGGCATAGGGTCCAGCCAAGGGTCAGCTCTAATACAATTCAAACCCAACACGTTTCTTAGTTCTCTTTTTTCCCTGCTACAAATGGCCTGAATTTTAGAAAATCTGTCCCTTCCTTCTTTCTGCATGCCCAGTGCTTCTTCCTTCTCCTGCCCCAAGAGTTTATCTGCATAATGGTGTGTGGAGAAGAAGACCTGTGCAGCTCCCCCTGACTTTTAGAAGCCTGTCTGTATCCTGCTTTTACTGGTTTGGAACTGAAGTCTCAGTCCTGAAAGGACAGATTGGCATGCAGAGTGCCTACACCCTTGCTTATGCCCTGCCACTGATTTGAGAGTTGAACTCCCTACCAGATGCATCCCTGCATCTTCAAGTGCCTAAATAGCTTAAAAATCTGGACACTGAGTGTCTGCAGATGTGCTTCAGAATCTTTCTATCACCCTCTTTTTGGTTGTGCTTTTATACTTTGCTCTGGACAGGCAGGTTTTAATGTGCTGCTATCGTGGGGCTGTGGAAAGGGGCAAAATAAAATACTAACAAAATACTGCAAGACTCAGAATGTAACTGCAGTGAGCAAATGTACAAATGCATTTGAAGACTCAGTTCAGAATTTATTCCATTTAGAAAACAAAACCTGCGATCCTTTAGGCAGAAATTTTCTTCCAAAGAAAGGAGAAAATACTTGGTTCCCTGTCTGTGCCCTCACAGGTCCTGCATGTGATTGCAGTGCATGTGAAGCGGTGTTTGTGAGAGAAGAAAAGCTGACTCCTTCCACTTCAGCATCCTGTTAAATGCCGTTCTTGAAGAGAAAACGTGCACAGCTGGCCTGCTTCCCCAGTCCAGAAAGCCTCACTGTTCCACCTAAATCTCCTTCACAGCACAGTTTTAGTTTCCAGGATGTCTTAGACAAAACATCAAACAAAACTGTTTCTCTGACCAGCCAGAACCAGAGTCCTTGGGCACCATCTCTCTAATTTTACTGCAGGATCCTCTCTCCTTTTCTGATGGTTTTAAAGGGAACATTCAGCCACTTCTCAACTAAGTCCAATAAACTGCTGGACCTTAGTGAGGAAAGCTGACTTATTAACCCTATAACAGTATCACTATCTCTTATTTAAAAGCAGGAATACAAAGGACAAAGGCAGCAAACAACATTTGAGAAAGGCGAGCTGCTCTCTCACTTCCTCATCCATCTGCAGACAGCCTTCCCCACCGATACCGAGTCCTTCAGGCCACTTCCCCTCCCTCCTGTTCACTGCAGGCTGCCCACAAGACCCTATCAGCGACTGCAAGCACAGAAGTAGCACTAGGAAAAGTATTTAAAGCAGTGTTCAGCAGTTTCAGAGTCAGCTATCCCCCCCCCGAAAGGTGCTCTCAATTTGAATTTGTGCTATAAATAAGAAAAGTCAATCAGTTCCACAGGACCAGATGTTCCTGTGCAGTCTACTAGTAATAGGCATATTGAGCTTGCTTGAAAATTGTTGCTCTTTGTAACTACTGGGTTTTGTAATCTATGGCTATATATAGCAATATATTTAAATTTACCCTGGATCCCAAATGGATGCCAGAATGCAGAGCACAAACAAGGAAACCAAAGATACAGCATTGTGCATTTAACTTTTAGTCACAAACTTCCTTTCCAAACACACACTGTGGTAACTTAGCTTGAAGTACCTTCAAACGAAGCTCCCAACAACAGCTTTGTAAATAGCTGTAAGAAGATTTGACTATAAATTTGTCAGTCCAAGAGCTTTCAGCAGAAAATGATAATTCAGAAATGTTTCCAAAAAGGTTGTCATTTCAGTGAGCTTCCTACGTGACCCGGTGAGCTAAGTCCAATGGATTGCTGACCAGGCAAAATTTCCAGGGTCATGTACTCTACTCCAGTATGCGGCATCTTAGGACCTCCAGGCTCTTGCTGCAAAAATGGAAGATGGGCAGACCTGGAAGCTCCAGCCCTACCTGAGGCTCAGGATATGGGCTCTGAAAAGGACTGAATTCTCCTCCAAAGCCACCAGCACCAGCAGTGTCCCTGCCATGGCAGTCACTGCCCTGGCAGTTTCTGCTCCCAAGCGCTGAAGCCCACTATTCTGTCGCACTTCTCGCACTCCTATGTGTGTCTGATAACTCCGACAGGAAGCCAGGAGTTAAGAAGCAAGGAAGTTATGGAAATGACTGGAAATGCAGATTTTTTAAGTTGTCAGACTCAAGATCACTTGAAAATTCTGGGAAAAAAAAGTGCTCTGGTTATTCTGAAAACCTTTTTCAGACCTCGTGCTCAAAAAGTCACAATTTTTACACGCTCCGAAGTGCAATAATCCTTGCTGCCCTTTCTCCCCTCAGTGTCAGGATGACAATCAGTAAGGGAATTCCAGTTTTCAAAGAATTCTGGGTGTAACTGTAAAAGAGGAAGCACTTTGTAGTTGCTTTGAGAAAGGCAAGAAATCTATGGCAAAGATTAGAAACTTAAACTAGGCTTCCAAGGTACCCTGTTTTTAACCAAGCAACTAATTAAAATCCACCACACTGTAACCTTGCTAATTTGGAGCTCATAACATGGAAACCCGCAGCAAATTATTGCTGCCTGAAGATTAGCCACAAGTAAACACAATAGAAAAATAAAACCTCTGCATTGCATTCTTTCATTCATTGGAAAAGTGTAACGTAGTTTAAATTCTAAGCATATGTTTATATTTTTGTAGTACACTTAAAATAAGGAGGGATTCTAATACCCTGAGACTTCATTCAACCTAACCTTTGGCAACTAAATCATGCAGTGAAGTGAGGAATGAGTGCTATTTGTGAAATATATATTGGTGAAATACCAGCTAGTTAAACTCTATTGCATTCTGAAAATTTGTCAGCAATAACAATTTTATTATCTGGGTACTTAACCATCACCTTAGTATCTAAGGGCCTTAATTTAGCTTCCCGGAAAAAGAGAAAACATTGTAGTTGTCTGTGTTTGGAGGGAACGCAAACTGGCAAACATACCACTGTTCTGAATTCAGACACTTGCCACAGCAGCCAGTCTTCATTAAGCGTGTACAGGGCTTTGCAAGTTATCGCATCAACAGGTCCTTTGTTTATCCTCTGATTGAGGGTTGTCACAAGCAAATAGAAAGGTTCACCAATTGTCTCCTAGGACATGAAACAAACGCAAGGAACATGTTTATTTTTGTAATCATTATATGGGCATGAACAACTAGGAAAAAAACCAAGTGTAAACGAATTAAGCTATTTCCTTTTAACTAACTTGTTATCTTGCAATTAGAAAAGAAAATCCCTCTGAGCAGATTTATCTAGTTATTTGTTTAACCTCCATCCTTTGCTTTTCGGTGTGAAAGTCTCATGCAAATAGCAAGGGACAGCTGGAGTGTGTGGTAAGATAGCTCTCAGCCCCTTGCTGTGCACAAGCACACTACAGACAAGCTGCTCCTGCTCCACCTGGCAGACGCTTCCTAGTTCCACCAAAGAGCTGCTGGGGGGTGAGACGTGTATGTGTTCACACACATACTTCAGCTATTTCTTCTTTTTTCGGTCTTGTGAGAAAACAAGTTAACAACTAGTTTCCTTTTGAATTGGCGTCTCCCCTTGCTGTCCCTGAAAAAAAGCCTTGGGAGTGAGGTGGTGGGACATACGCTGGTGTATCAGCGAAAGAGGGAATGAAACAGGGGCTTCCCTCTCCTGCATTCAGGCTTCAGCAAAGCACCTGAGAAAGGAAGGATGGATCTTTGTTTCCACGCGACACCATTCCTGCAGCCCGGCTATGGCATCTCACTAGCACAGCTCTGTAAAGATGACTGCTGTATCGAGAACAGATCTCTGACAGTTCCTTGGCTCTCTCCTGGTGTTTGAGGAAACCGATGCGAGCTGCTGAGCCTCAAACAATTCTGTTGCTGTATTAACGCAAGGACTGATAACGAGTGATACCAATAGTGCCATATCATCACACTGGTAAGAGAGACAGGAAGCATAACCAAGCACTCAAACCAAGAAACAAGTGCTACCAAGTGGGCTAAAATAAACAAACAGTAAAATGAAAGAAAATGCTTAAAAGTTTGGAAAGAAGTTTTCTTTTCCAAAAGACAGTATTCCTTAGATCTCCATTATGTGGCAGCTTTCCAACAGCTTGCATAGAAAGGTACAGCTGCATTTTAACAAGCGTGTCAGTCTTTTAGTATGATCACAATACATCTCACGGAGATGAAATGCTGTCTGACGTGAGAAAAGACTATGCTAGAATTGCAAAATTACCCAAATCTCAGCCAAATAAAAGACACGATCATTGCTTACAGACGTGCTCTTTTCCTACATCCCACTGATGATAGCTAGCTAAGTCACCTAAACTAGAAGAGCAAACATTAATAATGTTAAATGTTAGACTGAACGCTTTAAACTGATGCCTCTAAAAATTCCCATGGAAGAAATCAGTTAAAAGAATTCTTTGTGTTATCTTATGTAGTGAAAAGACGTACACGTACCCGGAGAAATCCAGAAAGACAGACAGACATCCAGTTTGTCAGCAATTTTTCTACCACAGATTCGGTGCGTCTGAGCAGGAGCTTAGGCTGTACATTGCTTGATTGCTCCATCAAGTCCTTTGTCAGCACTTCCAAAATATGGGTTAGATAAACTAGCTTAGTTTGTAGTGCAATAGTCAAGAAGGATGCAAGCAAGCACCTGTCAAAAAAAAAAAAAAAAAAGAAAAATACAAAAAAGAATGCTATAATATTTGGCATTTCTCTTCCCAGTCATCTTTAATAAATGAAACACACTTTAGCGCAGTTCATATCCTAAGTTTTCCCTCCTCAGGCACAGAAACTGTCCATTGATCTCTACAAAAATATAAAAAATGCAAGTCCATCTGCTCTTGTGATTATTTTTTAAACACAGAATTTGTGTCTCTAAATTTAATTCTGCAGAACAACACCTGCCTCAGTGACAGAATGTTTCTAAACTGTAGAACTGTTGATCTAACTGCAGGAAGCGTTTACAGTTTTGAAGTGAGTTTTCCTGCTCCTTTGCCTCTTTGTTTACATGTACAAACATTGTGATTTCTCTTTAATAGCTTGTTTTAATGCCAATGTGTTTTCTTCCCCAGTGTGTGCAGATGGAGAAGATGGAAAAATGCTCTGGAGTAATGCAAGCTTGTTTTGCAAGAAGTAGAAATTACATTTCTGTGCTACAATCCATGTTGTTCTTTCTTGCTAATTCTTTGTCTTGAAGATGATAAGCATAATCATACTATACCTGTCTTTCACAGAGAAATTTTTCTGCTTTTCAAGGGTGTGAATGAGAGTAACAAGAAAGTTCTTGTTACAAATTAAAGCATGCAACATGTTGAAGCTTTCATCCTTGCTCGTTTGGTCTCTGCTCTGGAATAGTTAAACAAAAATAAGCAAACTGTAGTTTGGCTATGATGGATTCTTAATGCTCAGAAAAATGGTAAGCAACATATGGGATAAGATCATGGCCTCATTCAAATCGGTGGGAATTCTGCATGTATTTGGTGGGTCTCAGCACTTTATCAAAGATGCATTTGCATTTGTGTTCAATACAGAGTACACACATGCAAAGCTTACATTTTCTGTCATATACCCAAAGTAATGCCAATAGTTAAGCTTGCCTGTCATTTCCCATTACTAGATTCTGTTTATTTTATTTAAAGAAGTCATAATGTACGTTGGGTGCTAGCACTTTGCATAGCTAATTCTTTTTATATATAAATCCATGTAACTCTCCTCATGGGGGAAAGGGAACATATTGAAAATGCAATCTGATGTGTTCTGGGACAACACTGAGATAAGGGGTACACTCACACTTGAAAAAAAATTTATTAATTAAGGCATATCACACTACATCAACTTACCTGTGGCATGTCTTCACTGAAGATGGATGCAAAGTCTCCTGACTAAAATATAAGACAGGTGATATTTATCATTCTTATGTATACCAAAAGTTTCTAACACATGTACGGTGAACATGCCAAGGATGTTCCTGATGGCATACAACTTGAAATAAAACAATGGAAATGCCGGCTTCTAATGTAGCTACAATATAAAAACTCTACACAATAACTTCTGCAAAGGTTGCTGCCAAGGTTCACTGAAAAATGCACTCTCAAAGATGACCTGGTGTTGACATCAGTGTTACTCTGTGTGTTACTCGATGCTGCTGACCTGCACTAGCACAGTAGTCAACTAACGCTCACAGGCAAAGCTGTTTATTACCCTCATCTGCAAATGTGCTGGTGTGCAAGGGGTGCTGCAGGCTGCATCCTTCTTGGATGGCAACGATAGCCTTTGGTATACGGGGTTTCTGGAACAAAGTGACACTTGAGTTCATCTGCCTCCATTCATTTCAAGGCACTTTATGAATGTTCACTAATGAACTCTCCAGGAGGTCCATGCTGTCTGTCTCCAGAGAGGCACAGGTGCCACCAGACATCCACTCCTGGCAAAAGCTCTCACAACAAAGGGAAGCCCCCAGTTCTCAAATACCTTGTCAATGCCTTTTATCTGACTCTCACAGCCTACAAGGTCCCAACACAGCTGCATGTTCCCAAAGCAGCATCCTTGAGCAACAAATTCACACTAGCAACATTTACTGTCATCTGCTTTATCTGTGATGCTGGCAGCCCTTAATTTCCTTACAGAATCATAGAATCATAGAACGGTTTGGGTGGCAAGGGATCTTCAAAGATCACCCAGTTCCACCGCCCTGCCATGGACAGGAACACCTTCCACCAGACCAGGCTGCTCACAGCCCCATCCAACCTGGTCTTGAACACTTCCAGGGATGGGGCAGCCACAGCTTCTCTGGGCAACCTCTGCCACTGCCTCACCACCCTCACCGGGAAGAATTTCTTCCTCCTATCTCATCTACATCTTCCCTCTTCCAGTTTAAAGCCATTGCCCCTTCTCCTGTCACTCCTTGCCCTTGTAAAAAGTCCCTCCCCAGCTTTCGTGTCGGCCCCTTTAGGTACTGGAAGGCTGCTGTAAGGTCTGCCCGGAGCCTTCTCTTCTCCAGGCTGAACAATCCCAACTCTCTCAGCCTGTCCTCACAGCAGAGGTGCTCCAGCCCTTGGATCATCTCCGTGGCCTCCTCTGGACTTGCTCCAACAGGTCCATGTCCTTCTCGTGCCGAGGACCCCCGAGCTGAAGGCAGTACTGCAGGGGGGTCTCACCAGAGCGGAGCAGAGGGGCAGAACCCCCTCCCTCGACCTGCTGGTCACCCTGCTTTGATGCAGCCCAGGGCACGGTTGGCTTTCTGGGCTGCAAGTGCACATTGCTGGCTCACATCTAATTTTTGATCTACATATCTGATTTTTCATCCCTCCCTTTCCTCATGCGTCCTGTTCTCTTCTCCCCTATAGTACTCTTCTTACTCTTCCTCCACTGGCTATTCCCATTTTCCAGAACGTCTTCAGTACCCCTAACATCACCTAACAATAAAACACACACGCACACACACAGGGTGAAACAACCAGAATCATGTTAAAGGTTAAAAATGCTTGTGAACAGGGAACAAGCGTGGTAGCATTAAATCAAACAATGTGGGAAATTGAGAGAAAACAGAATAATCCAAATTTAACAAGTAAAGCAAAAATCAGGTTGAACATAAGGAATATTTTAAGATTAGAGGTAATATCCATTTAACACCTACAAGCATTAAGCACAAAACAAAAGCTATCAAGCCAGATTAAATATAGAAAATTGAAGCAGAGGGAAGTGAGAAGCTCAAAATGAAGATGGGGTCCATCACTCTTAATTTTAGGTACTTGACTCCCTCTTTAAGCAACTCATCCCATCCTGAGAGATGTCTCAGGCAAGTGGGATGAATTACTTTGTTGAGCTGCCAGTCTCTGCACTGACTACAGAAGGTGTTCAGTGAACGGCTTTCATGTTCGTGTTTAAACAGCTTAGATGAGATGAGACAAACCTTATCGGACACACTGGAAAGCAGAAAGAGTACAGTACCAACATCATTCAAACACGTGAGGTTAGTGAGGGAAGTGGTGGTTTGTCACTTCAACCCTTCTGACACTCGGTTGCAATCTACTACCCCATTGCCTTTTCTGTTCATCTGTAATATTTGTTTAGTAGAGCACTGCTCTCCTACCACATTCATACAGCACAAGGCATGTTTGGACAGTCCCGCAATGTAAACGGTAAGTACTTAGCAGGAAAAACTGGTACACAATACATTAAATAACTTGCCTGACACCGCATGTCTGTAGAGAGCTAATAGTGGCAAGTCTACCCCTGTGGCATCAGTATTTCAAACCGAGACAAAATCTAATTGGAATTATTTCCCGGATGTGCAGTGGCATGAGACTCGCCAAGGCAAAACAGGAGCCCTTCCCTTTCTGACTTCACATAATGCAACAGAGTGGCAGACTTTGTGCCTTTTTTTCTTTCCTTTTTATTTGCATTAAAGCAAAGCATTTCCACTCAGACAGCTTCTACAGATTGTTACTGTTTTGACAGGGGACTATCACTAGGAAAAGACATATTCCTAAAAATAAAACCACTATTTTAATGCTAATATGCCTGGCAACAAAACAAACTGAATTTTTTTTTAGAGATGCAGAAAGTAAGATTTCCTTGGTCCACTTTCTTCAAACCTCCTCATGACCCCATACAAATTAGACTGGGGGCATCACAGCAGTACCAGAAGAGACGTCCCCAGTCTCCTTTGGTGTGAGAACTGGACTCAAAATGTGCAAAGATTAAGTGTACGTAATTGTTAAATATTATTCTGCCTTAGTATCTGGTATTTGGTGTTGTACAAAAAAGGCTCTGATTCTGCACTATCATATGTGTTTAATGTTATCACGGTGAGCTTTTGTGGGATCACACACGGCAATAAAGCGAAGGTAAGTGTGCAGATAAGGCTGCGGGACTGGGCCATAGCGGTGATGAGTCACACAAGAAGACCAGCAGACAGTTTGCATACATACCAGCTATACCCTAAAACACCACAGCACTAACCAAGGGTTTCCACTCCTTGGTGTCAGTTACACAGCAAAATACCACCAGCTGAGATCACAGCTTCCGTCAATTAGTAAATGCTGGTAAGCACTGGTTAACATCATGATACAATTTTGAAAGCTGTGGTAAATGCACTTATCAGCATCGTAATGTGCCACATATGCAAAAAAATAGCAAGAGAAGTAAAACTTTCAAGAGAAGGCCTCTTCAGTCCTCTGACGCAGCAGCACAAACTGCTCCAAAGAACAATGAAAATATCCACCTCTAAATGGGACAGCACTTAAGTAATTATGTAATTTTTAAGCATTTGACCTGCACTCCTTTGAATCAAGGTCTTACCATTTCTGTTAGCAGCTTGGAGTAGAAAGTCAGCACGACCTTAGAACCTTTTCTTCATCCCACAAGTCTAATTAGGAAGTGTCATGATGTTAGCTAGCATGTTACCTAGCCTGACTGTTGCTTTAATTAGCTATAGCATGGAAAGCAAAAGCATGAGAACAAAAAAGCGATGGATAAATTATAGCTTGCTTAGGATGGCCTGAAAGGCAGGAAGCTTAGCGAGGCTGGGCAAAAAAGAAATGGATGCACACACAACCCTTGAAAATTCAACGGTGCTTTATCTATAGTACTTAGGCTTGGTTAAATATGGAGATGTACAGCCTTAAGTGTTCTTTCGTAATTCTTGATTTAAGAAAAGTTTCTTGTGAAAACAATGTGCAATTACTGTGTAGCATTTACTTCAGTTATTTGATCCTGACCTTCCTAGCTTTTCATTATTAGGCAGGGCTGACGACTGAAAGACTTGTAAATATTTACCTCTGGAAAGAAAGTTCTAAGAGCAAAGTGTTTGTAGTCAAGGAAGGGAACGGTTCCAAAGCTATCCACCACGTCTAATTCATCCATCTGCAGTTCAGCAAATCCTGAAAAAGCACCCCCCCTCCCCACCCAGAGAGTTAGTTTAGTTGACACACAATAATCTTCATAATTATAACTTGGCCCCAATAGATACTCCTTAAAAAACAGTTTCCAGGGAAGAGAGGTTGTTTTTCTAGCTGAAGCTCTTATGAGCAGGGAAGTACCAATCCATTTTTTCCCCCACTTTTGTTGAAGGAAATATTACATGCAATCCTATTAGCTCAGTGCTATCTGCTACTGTAGTGCACAGCAACATTAAAGAGAAACTCTGATACAACACAAAAATATTCTAACAGCTATGAAATTAAAATGTTTATATAATGTGAGCTTCTTGACAGTTTCGGTTCAGAAATTATGCTGTACTTAAGCTCTATAAAGCTCTTTAGACCTACCCTCACGTATTTCCTTCCGAATCTCATACTCCAGCAGTTCAAGTTGCTGACTCTGTTTACGAGTTAACTCTTTGGATTTGTATCTAGTAACTACGAATGCCACTAAAAAGGAAGAAAAAAAGATTCTGAGTACTGAAATTACACAGCCAATCCCTATACACGACATATTTTACTACTATATTAAGAAACAGAAAGATTAATATACACTTGCGCTCTCCAGGAGGATTACTGTTTTTACTGTCGTCGGTGTGCTAGTACCCAGGAGCCCTAGTTACCTGGATCTAAACCCCAACGTTTAATAAAAAACAATCCTTTTAGCAAGGTCTCAGAATTACCAATCCAACTTTATTTGAAAGTACAGCACACCCTGCTACGTACAACCTGCACGCTGAGACACAGAATGTAACAACCACTTCTACTACTAGCAACCTACTTAAAGTAGCACTGATTAAACAGGAAAAACAGTCGTTTTGAACAGGAAACCCACTTCCAAATTTTTAACTTCTCTAAAGCTTATCTTGAGAGAGTGAAGGCATGAGATAGGGTTCCTGTAAAGGTAATGCACTTTTTAAAAAGAAACCCAACCAAACAAAAGAACAAACCCCTGAACTTATTACAATAAATGGAAATTTATCAAATATATAACCAGGTCAAAACATTCAGAAAAAAGGAGTGACAAAAAGAGGAGTGGGTAACTATTTACCCCCCTCAATTTAGTAATGACCTACAAATTCATGAATGATCCAAATGAGACTGAGCAGCACCACCACAAACACTGCCTGAGGATAAGCAGGTTGTTAGGGAACATCTGCCCCAGGGACAGGAAGGGAGCCCAGCTCTCATAGCTGGAAGGGCCCACGTTGTGATAGGAGGATGTCAGTCCTACGGCTTGCCTCACTAAATGATGGGTGAGTAATCCCAGCTGGACAGCCAAAATGACTGCCTCGTAAAGTGCTGTAGTCTGACAAGACAGACTTCACCGCCAGACCAGAGTTAACTTTGTCTGCTCTTATTGGGAACAGGGGAAAACCATCAGACTGCTTGTGATAGTCCCAAACATGTATGTGTCTATGTATATGTGTATAAGTGTCATGATTATATCCTTCAGCAAATCAAAAACTGAAAACTCATTACTGTACTTACCTATAATGACACCCACTACAATGGGTAGCAAAATAAGAACATATAAATATATGTGTGATGATGTCGGTTTGACTTCATGCTCAAAATTTCCTAATTTGACCTGAAGGAAAATAATGGCTGTGTTAATAGAGGACAGGTGTTATATCAGTGCTTAAAATGACATTTGATGTATTAAAAAAAATGTATTTGAGGCACATGAAGGACCCTCATTCTGCAGATTATTGGGAAGACAGCAGCAATTCGGGAAAACATAAGTGAACCAACACAAACTTAACTTTTACTGTATTTGATGTTTAAGCAAGGTAACAGAGCAGTGACAAGAAAAATCTGGAGGTCCTCATGCAGCACCAAATTTTGCCATTGCTCTCACTGCAAACTAGAGCCCTCAAATGAATGGCAAGATCTGGCTTCCAGCTGGCCAAGTGGTTCATGCACTTCAGAATCCCTGCTAAACGTTCTGGCATTTTGAAGCAAGGAAGGCACATGTTGATAGTTAAAAACATTCCTTTGCACTCACAGTGTTACTCTGCTGAGCAGAAAAGTAAGATAAGACTCACGCTAATAATGAGGGAAGTAAAATTTTTGATAGACGCCTGGCCCGCAGCCCTCTTCCCTATTTCTTTGCAGAAGTTTCAACCTCTTTATGTAGGATGTAGGGCGTTCCTGAAGGTCCGCTTAAGAACAAATACAACATGCAATACATGTACAACATCCCCCAACAGCCACTGGGCTTGTCGAAGGCAGGACAGGCATTAATTCTTAGGAATACACGAAAGTGCTGAAGTCTGCCAGATGCCAAACTGAGGCATTCACCAGTGATAATTACGGCAGAAGAAATTTCTCAAAGGAAGATCTCAAAGAGGACTGTGAAACCACATAAATAAAGGGTAGCTAAGACTATAAACAGACTAGAAGTAAAAATACGCTTTGACACAGAAAAAGAATACCACCAAGTGCCAGGGATAGAAATGAGCCTGAGATAATTGAAAAGGAGAGTTGGGTTGAAATCATTTTGGGTTACAGCAGGGAAGGCAGAGATCTGGTGATTTCAATCACTGGCTTGTCACAGGAGGTGAGCAGCCAGGGCAGCTGGAGACTGCCGACTGCAGAGTCACATCGCAGCTACAGGGACACGAGCAAGCAAAGAAACCCCACAGGGCTGGAAGGACACAGCCTTCGTATTTCTGGGGCTACAAAGAACCGAAGACAAAGCAGATCTATTTCCTCCATCAAATGTTATTTTTTCCTCAGTTCTTTATATGTTTTCACAGTTCCTACACAAAGTACTTTTGGTCTGAGCCTTCCTAGGATTTCATTTGCCTTTTCCAAGGCTGAAATGCATTGGTGGCTCAATACATTAATCATCCCCTGACTAATACACCTGCCTTTCTCCACTCGCCACGTCCACCCAAAGCATTCCTAAAGCAGAAATTTCTGTTACTCATCCCTGCTTATTGAAAACTGAGACAAAGCATTCATTTAATTTTCTGCTTATATTTAGATTATCTTTAATCTCCACCATAACCTTCCTATTGAGTGGCCCTATTTCTTTCCTTATCTTTCATTTATCTTGCTTGTGAATCACAGACTAAATAAAGTACACCTGAATTAATCCAATTCCTATTTCTAAATTCATTCCATTCATCCTGCATGACATTATAAAACCTCCTCTGGACTGGTAATGTCTCTGAGCTTTATGTCATCAGCAAATGTTATTAGCACATGCCTTATTTTTATGCTCAAGTCACTAGTGATATTAAATAGTATCTGTATGAAAATCAACATTGCCCAGAGTCAGCTCCCCATACACAGCATCCAGTTTTTCTAATCCCTAGCGTCTTTATAATCACCATGTTAAGTAGTTTACTGAATGACTTCCAGGTACATGTGATCTACTGCTTTTTTGTTGTTGAGGAACTCACTCATCTTATGAAATAAAGATATCTAGCATAATCTGCTTCTATTAAAAAGAAGTTGACAATTACCCTCTTTTCCATTTACCTCCAGGTCTTTCATGAGTCCCTCATTCAAAGTACATTATAAAGCTTCACACAAAGCTAGGTTTAAGTCAGCAAGCCTCCCTTTGCCTAGGTTTTGTTTTTTTTCTTTTTAATCCTGGTTTTATATTTGCTGCTCTCCAGTCATACAGTACATCTCCTGACTGCAGTTTTATTAAAAATCTTTCCTACTAAGCCTACAATATCATGTGACAGTTCTTTCTCAGTGCTGTGATGGGAATGTTCCTGTTCCTGCTGTCTTGAGCCCCTTGATCTACCTGAATCTTGCCTCTGTCACAAGAATGGTGTTTTCTTCTTTGACACCTCCATTCAGACTGATCACGATCACGCTTTAACCCCACACTCAATATTCTCTTTCTTCCTGAGAACTAAGGCAAGAGGTACGTTTATTCTTGGGCCATACCCATCTTTTATACCTAGCTTATCCTTTCTTCAGAGTAGCCCTACTTCTTCTATGATGATTTATTTAGAAGATTGAAAAAATACATGATGGTTTACTACTTTTACATTTTTCTTGATGTTGGAAAAAATCATTTTTAAGGTACCAGAAGTGAAATGTGACATTATAACTATCGCTTTTGATTTGCCTTAGCTAAGTGGTGACCTTTCTGTGACAGTCACTCCTATGAAGCTTGCAGGATGAGCATGTGATATTGCAAGGCAACGTTAATATTTAAATGCAACACCAATCTCAGAAAGGCTTTTCCATGCCATAACTGGCTCAGATGGCAGGATCCACAGATGGGGGATTAGTTAACAGTGATATGAAATTGAGAATAGCTTCGTTAATCTTTACTATGAGCCATATGCCTTGAAGTCAATAGAGTTATTTCAGTTTTATACCACCATATACTGCAGTAAGAGTCTGGCATCATTTTTCTTCCTCATAAATGGTGATGACTGCATTTTTAAAAATTCATATCTATCTTATTCATGGCACAAATATCTTGAGCTGCCTTTTAGCTTTGACATCCATGCTAATGTTCTTGTATTGGCTTTGTGCCCTATGTTCAAAGCATTTTGGCCTTGCCAGCGCACATTGAATTTCACCCCTTTTTTCATCCAGAAACACCTTCTCTTCTGTCTCAGTGGTGATCCCTATCAAGATCCTTACCTACTTTAGCAGGAAAAAGTGAATGGGAGGATCAATCCTTTTCTTCATGGCCGTGCTGCAGCAGTAGATCACTTACAGATCGAAGACGAGGGGCTCCCCGGGAGCCAGCAATGCCGTATCGGTGATGTCTGTGCTGCTGCTAGAGGTGTGACAGGCTACTGCTCTCCTGGAGCTCAGCTGCAGCGAGCTCAGTTTGGGCTGCAAAGCTTACCTCTGACACTACAGCAGTAACCAGATAGTAAATGAACTCAGTACTGTCAGTGGTACTAAGCTAGGCAGGCACGCTTAGATACAGGGAAGCAACTGCACTACAAAGTACCAGCAGAGCAGAAAATGCACCCAGTTCCTCCCTCTATAACAAACATTTACAACCAGAGCATTAATGCTACATTTTACTACATTTGTATAAACATCCAAACACTGTTGAATTGCAACAAGAGAGAATTCTACTTACAAAAACTTTCACAGTGGAAAAGTCAATCTTGTCTGTTCCTTCCCTTTTGAATTTGCACAGTATGGTGCTACGGTCTGGTTTTTTGGTAATATTTTGGACACTGAACCATATCTTTTTGGTCTGTGCCCCATTCACATATGACAAGTAAACCTCTACCTCAGTTTTAGAAATATTCAAGTTGTCATTTTCTTTCTAGGGGGAAAAAATTGAAGATAATAAACAGTCACTAAATACAGTAAGAAATAAAATGATCGCCAACAACTATTTTAAATAACGAATTATATTTTATGTCTTTCAAACTTACATATATCTTTAATTCCAGATCAGGATCCAGCTCAGTGTGCAGCTGGTAGTTAATGAACACTGGGTCAGGATGATAGTGTAGTTTGACACATGGTATAAAGGTAGTTTCCACTTTTAACATCATATCAACAACTTTACCCTCTGTTGCGTGGCTCAGGCTTGGTGTTAAGTAATGATATTCAGATTCATTTCCAGGACACCTAGAGACCTAGAAATGCAATAGCAAAGCTGTAACAGTCATTAAGTACTCAACAGTGGGTACAATTACAAACAGAAGCACTCAAAATCATTTTAGTGTCTTCCGGACTTCACACAGATATCTGCTAAACTTCTTCTCTGTGATCAGGGTTGCATGCAGAGCACCTGAGAAATTTTCTGTGTTGAGCTTGTGTCTACCTTTAAACACATTTATCACACACTCTGCACGCTACTTTAAGGCTGATTGCACGCTGCTAAGGCAGCTATTTCCTGCAGGGAGACAGGAATAGTGACAGTGATTTCTCCTTCCTTCCCCTCAATGCAGGTGACAAGAGAAGGGCAGGACGAGCTCTTCAGCACCTCTGGGCATTGGCTCTCCCCAGCTTAACCCCTGAGAGGGGGGGTTGCTGCAGTCACCCCACTGTTTACTCCACGGGTAGTGTTGCTGTTTTCTGGTCTCTGTGCTGTAAGCCCAGGAGTCAACAGGGTGCCTACCTCCTCAGAGCCTCAGAAAAAGGGTTTCGTCCCAACATCAGCTCCAGTCTGCCGCCCCTTGCTTGAGGCAGTGGCACTTTGGGTTCTCAACACAAAGCCAGAGAGAAGTACACCATCCCCTCCTCCAACAGACCCATATACGGGGAGACTCAAAAAGAACAGATTTGAAACAAGTCTCTAGAGTGTAGAAAGAAAGATCAGGGGATTCTGCAGGAGAGAAGCTTATGTGTATCCATGATCTTATACCAAGAATGTGTGCAACTGTAATCCTACAAGTGGTCATATTTATTTCGGTAGGGTGACTGATGTGTGCCTGCAAGTGTTTGAAAAATATTGAGATTCTCCTGAAACCTTAGGAACAAAACCTAATCCCTCAAGGGACCTTTATTTGGTATCGTAAAGGAGATTAAGACTTACTGTGAAGTTTGATCTCTGGTCATCTGAAATAATCACACTGTCCACCACATTAAAATTTCTACCAATCGTAGTAATTTTGCGACCACCACTGTAAAAAAAAAGGGGGTGAAGAGACGTTCGTAATATCTGTTTTCCCACAGATAAGTCCTGCATTAACGCTTCAGCCGTGAATAAACTACTCATGTGCATTTCGCTTTGCAGCAGCCACTATAAGAGAGTCAAACTGCAGGACACGATAAGTTGAGCTATCCAGTGCACTTCCATTCTTTCCTTATAATGTAATAGTAAATACTTTTGCTATCGCAAAACCAAATGACTTGATAGCATACACGTGCATACTCCTTTTCAAGGACTCTCCACCTTGTTTTCTATTCATGCAGCCAAAGAACTAGACCGTGATTTAATATTCTGTCTTGAAGAAAGAGCATCGTGGTGTTTCACTGCCCCAGAGCAGCCCTGCCTGTGCTTAATTCTTGCCTTCTTCAGGACGAACCGATGGTGCCAGGCACCTCACAGGAAACATTCTCGGGAGCGTTCAGACCATCTGTCTCAGCACACACAATGGTGCTTGTGTCTGAGGGCTCTGGCTCACAATCTGTGCTGAACACAGTTGGAGTGGTTTAAGGTATTATTAATTTCCAGCTGCCTGAGCTGCCTCTCACCTGGAGCTGCAGCTGCCAGCCCAACTCATTACCTCAAATCCACACTTGCCAGTGCTTGACGTCAAGATACCAGATTAAGAATGGGAAAGCGGGTAAAAAACTGTGCAGGGAGAGGGACAGGTGGAAAGTTGTGTCTGAGAATATCTTAAAACCACCCTTTAAGTCTTTCAACGGAGCTGCGAGTCTCCCACAGAACACAGCAGAGGCTTGAAAAGGGCTCTTTTGGCTTTAGGGAACCCAGTCCTAAAGCAAGTCTGCACGTATCACCGCAGTGATGATTATTTTCACTTCATTTCCAATTCAGTGATACTTTACACTGTTTTGGAGGTGAAGGGTATATTAGTATCAAGAAATCAAAGTTAACTGGAGTTTGAATTTATGCATGCTACCCCTATCTTGGATTTAGCTTTAATATGAAGAGATTATTTTTGACTTCTACACAGGAGACCTAGGGTGGGCAGGAAGGAGTTTACAGAATCCTGCAGAACACAGAATCCATCTTGAAGCTATCATGACCCTATCCATATGTTAAATGTTAAATCAGTTCACTGGTGTAAATTCATCCTCACAACAGGTTACAGCAGTGATCCAAGTTTACATCAGCTGCAGTCTGGCTCAAGGAGGGAGGCTCATATCGGCTCAGTGGGACTACATTTTAATAAATACATAAAAAGTATAGAAAGACAAACGTACCTGATCCAGGAGGTATTTGGTGTGATGCCAAAACATGATGGCACAGAAACATAATGCAGGGTCATTGGTGGCGAACATTTTTTCCCATTAGCCTGTATACATATACTTTTGGCCTCTTTACGTGTTGGTGGGAGAGCAAATGTCATTTGTGTATCATTCAGCACATTTCTAACTTTAATGCTGGAGGAGAAAGAAAACAGTCAGACTCTGAAACACAGATGCCACTATGCCACTCATAGGTGTTACTACATGAAGCCTATAACCTTAAGAAAGGATAAGGAGAAAACAGAAATGAATCTCTCTTTGAGCTGCCAGATGGAGGTGGAAAGACAGAGCAGGGAGTTGAAAAGACAAAGCAGGGCACCTTTTGAAGGAAATTGCTATGTGTCACAATAATCACAGAAGACAGTACAGATATTGGCCTTACGGCCTTGGGATGAGGCTATGTAACGCAATGTGTGATTTTGCTGTTTACTGTTACTTTTCTGTGCTACCAACATGATCCACGAGCTAGCCAAGACTGAGAATCTTCAGGTTCCTTTTCTTTCTTCTTTTTATTTCTTTTTCCCTCCTCCTTCCTCTCTTTCATTCCTTCCTTCTTCTCTTTACTTCCTCTCCCTCCTTCTCTCCTTTTGTTTTCAGTGGTCCCCAGGAAATTCATGGGTGAAGCAAAAATTGAACAGTACCATATGAATACTTTTTCAAGTGCTAGCTATGTAAAATGGGCTTGGCAATCACAGGCAGCTACTGCAGCTGCACCTGAAAATGAGTGATTCTGGATAAGATAGCCTAATTATCTAGGGGGTTACACTGTGCAATCATTAACAGAGAAAAGTACAAGATGTTGCATGAGAGATTCCCTTCCCCAGCACGGTGTTTATGCTTTCACAAGCAGAATCCTAAAATATATGGGGAATATTTTGAAGCAGAGGTGAGTCAAACAAAAGGTGAGGCTTTCCTGTGACCTAACTTCTTGTTGCCTTCTGCAAGGCACAGAGGGCCAGAGGTACAGAACTGCCCAACTACTGCTGAGAGAACTGCCCACTGACCCATCCGTCCCTTGTATTGCACCCAAACACCAAATTCATTTCCATCCTTCGGGAATTTGAAGTGGAAGTATAACTAAAGCTGTGCAGAGCATCCCCCGTTCTGCTGATGAGAGGCCCCTGAAAACTGTTCACACTGTGAACTGTATTGCTATGGTAAAATGGGCATAATTTTCACCATGCAAAGTAAACAGTATTATTTTTCAGAGCTTAACTCACACGTCTGGTTTACAGCCAGTGATTCCAGTCAGTATCAGTTTTATGCCTGATGCACGTGTAAAGTTTTCTCCTTTGACTGTTATTTCACTTTTGCCTAATGTAGAAATCCACAAAGGTTCAATGGAATGAATGCTGATATGCTATTAGAAAACAAAGCAAAACAAAATCTGGTTATAAAAAGGCTAGGCAATTAAACAACAGCTGCAAAAACAACCACTGCTCAGGAATGCGGGTTTTATGGCACTGGGATACATTTTTCTTATTAATTTCAAATCTTGTTAAGCTTGATCCTGGGAAGTACTGTCAATCACAACTTCTTCATAAGCCAGCTATTTTTACCTACATATTTTATATTTCAATTTGTCTCATAACAAAATTGCCCAAAGAAACCACAATTTGACATACTGGAAGGTAAGTATCATAAAAACCCAGCTTGAAATGATGCATTTTGTGTGACCCTTGAAGAACTAAGAATCAACACAAGACAAAACCCATGCTGTCACTATGAGAGATCAGAGAAACAAATGAAGGCATCTCTTGTGACCTGAAAAGGGGAAGCAGGGTCAAACCCTAGAATGAAAAGTCGAGAAAGAGCCCCAGCATTAGCTTTACTAGAAAGTCTTTTCAAAATCACATACAGAACTAAAAGTAAACACAATTGAGGGGATTTTTTGGTATCCCATTTTGATGCCAAGAAGTTTACAAATCTATTTTCCAGCATTTCAGAATATCCTAGTGTGCTCTGATGCTGTCACAGTCTTCCAGAAACGTGGTCAATTTTTAAACTGTGCTTTTTTTTGTGTATCTTTATATTTACTTATTCTAGCTTACTAACACTACTGAGCAAGAAGAGAGATTTTTTTCCCTAGTATATTTACTTGATACATTTGACAGCATCTCATGTTTAATCAGTTTTGCTGCTTCCCCAGTTTTACAATCACACAGACCGTTTCCTTTCTGTGTGTCTTTGACAACAAACTGAAAACATTAAAAAAAACAGGAAAATACGCATGTGAAACCACAAACTGTTTGGGACCTTCTCAGGCAAATGATTTCTAGCCTGCTTTCAGACGGCCTATAGTTTATATACTAGTTTAAAGTGAGATTTTGAGAGTATTGTGATTATTCTGATTTCTGCTGTGCACCTGTGGAGAAGAGGGCTGGTGCAAAAACTCCAGGAAAGTTCTTCCCACAGGGTTTTTCTCCCTACTAATCTTTTCATGGACCCAGAGCAACACCAAGACTTCGGGCTGGTGGCCTGAGGGGACCATGGTGGTCACATCACCATTCTCTGCAAACACAGCCTCTGCCCATTTCAGAAAGGTCCCCAGCATGCTGTCCCCACACGCTACCACGGCCTACTGAACACCAGAGCGCTCCAGAGAAAATGTGAGACCTGTCACAACGGATTGAAAGCTCCAACTTGTGCCTTAGGAAAGGGCAAGAGAGTGCAAAGGCTGGGGCCAGAGGGCCTGCAAAAGGGCCTCCCAGATGACCTCTGCTATGGATAATGGAGGAGGGCAAAGGAAAACCCTGACAAACAGCCTGAGGGGGAAAATTCACTCCCACCCTGACCTGGGGATCAGTTTAACCCCTAGTATGCGAGCAGAACAACTGAAGCAGAAATCTGAGAGATTCAAGTCAGTGAAGCACCAGTGCTCTTCTCTACCCATGTCCCATGCCTCTGCTTGTGCTCCAGCGCACCAAGGAAAATCAATATCCTCACACAAATCCAGAAGCCAAATATTACAGAAAGGACTAAAACCCTGCTTCGTGGCTCTCACTGGTAACCAGCAAGGAGCCCTGAATAAGACAGTATCACACAAACACACGGATCTCCCGCAGAGCTGCATCAGGGCTGTGAGCCCCAGTGAGGGAAACGCCAGGCATCATCCCCTGCCCAGGGCTCCCGCTGCTCTCTCTGCCAGGCACCGCACACCACGGGACACCTCAGCTTAGCTTGCCTTGTTTCTTTTCTTACGCCACGAAGAAATCACGGGAAGAATGGTTCACTCTGGAAGTTTCAGGGCCCCCTGAAATCATGCCTTCCCTGTCGCTACATGACATGGACTCCCTCGCTGCATCCCGCCTCAGAGTCATGGCGTCAGCGCTGTCACTCGCAGCCCTGAGGTAAGCTGGCCTGGGCTACTCGAGAGCCTGCTTCCCGGCTTGACCATCGCGGTACGCAACACTCTCCTCAGCAGCAAAAGAAACTGTGAATTTCCTCACTGAATGCGGGAGGGACCAAGCACCCTCGCTGGGGTCTGCGGTGTTCGTTTCCCCAGTGCCAGAGAGCCGCTGACCTTCCAGTCGCTGCATGGCCGGGGGAGAGGCGCCCGGCAGCAGGAGGGAAGGGAGACAGCGGAGAGGCAGAAGGATATTTATAAAAATCACTAGTTGAGGCATGCGATGAAGCAGCGTAAACACACAGAGAGATATACAGAAAGCGTGCGCCAGATCCTCAGGTAATGTAAATCAGCATAGCCCTGTCAAGTTTAATAGAGCTCCACATTCCTGAGCCGCAGCCCCCCATCCCCTGGTCAGCTAAATTCTTCCCTGGGGCTGCGTAAA